TCTAGTTAAATCACGGTCAAATTGCAAGATTTGGAGAGTTGAATCAACAGCTAGCGATACAATCACCACTCCACGCGCCGAGGTCACGCTAGATTAGAGAAATGCATATGAGTATGTGCTTGCCATTGCGCATTCGAGATAATGCTCGCAAATTTGTTTCGTCACTGTTTTTTGAACTTCGCGCTGAGGAAAGCGCCAATGGTGAATATTTTACCTAAACCAGCCCACAACCGGCCAAGGTTGAACCGGCGCCCATGGATCGCCCTTGCACGATATAAACATACGATGATATCTCGATATCAGGTCGCTTCAATGTTGAATCACGATGTGGAGCAGCTGGACAGATATTCTCCTGACTCGTTTTTCGGAAAGAAGAATCGCTACGTGCATGTCTGGCTCTGTCTGCGTGTCAGTTAATGGTCTACGAACCTACTGAACAATAAGAAAACGCAGATGGTTTCTTTTACAGAAACATGAAATAAAATTTATGAAAAAAAAGGAAAAGAAAGAATATTGTGGAAAGGTGAGTGCACTGAGAATGATCAGAGTACATTATGGAATTGCGGGAAAATCTCATCTGATATTTTAGAATATAGGTTCAAATTTTCGAAAATATTTCCCCAGTTATGGGAAGAAGAAAGGAAGCGAGAAAATAAAGAGATTCACATAATTTTAATCTGTATTTAAAAAAGAAGTAATTTTGAACTTTTAAATCATTCTGCTTACTATTGGTCTTTCACGTCCATAATTTTTATTCCATGTGTTGCAAACATTTATGCTATATATATGCATACAATTAAAAAAAAAAAAAAAAAAAAAAAAAAAAAAAAAACTAAAAGAAAGAAACAAACAAAAAAAAGAAAAGAATAGGTATTTAGAAAAAATTTGAACTTGGACTAGTTTCTAAAGTTCGAAACTTAACGTGTTAGATGTAAAAAACTAGTAATATATAATAACAATAAACGAAAGTAATTTTATAAATTAAAAAATCTGATGTGTACACCACATGACTTCCTTGTACGGAATATTAAATTATACGCATTTTTTCTTGCATTTCATTTAAGCTTATTGGATTGAATTAAATCTACTTCGCCGACAGCGCATAAACCACAATAGAATAAATGCATTCTTTAAAATTCACTCTAGTATTTGTTTACCATAGCGACACTCTGGCGCTAGATTCACTTAACAGTATTAATAATTATATAACAGTTAACTTATATAATAATTTTATAACGGAAACTAAGTTAACTGTTATATAATCCAATAATTATATAACAGTTAACTTATATATTTCGTTCATATTATAACTCATAATGCACAAAATTTATATCATTTAAAGAATAGAATTATGTAATCGTTGCCACATGTTCTATTAAAATACTATAATAAAGCTAGAACGATGTATAAAAGAAATTAAGCAAACAAAACAAAAAAGAAACAGTTTTTCACAGACGATTGAGTATTTCTCATTTAATTAATTCAGTTCTCACTTCGCGACAAGGTAAAAATACATAAAAACTCAAAATATCTATATTAAAAATTACGAAGTAAATCTTAAACGCTTATTTCCTCGAAAAAATTCCAGAAAGGATTAAGCATGATTTAAATAATAAATGAAGGCGTTATCTTTGTTGTTGCGAAGCTAAGTTTCTCTAGATTGGCAACAAATCCGCTACTCAGCTGTTTCAAATGTAAACAAGAGCAATGGCTGCCATCAAATTAGGCTTAGCGGCACTTAAACAATTTTAAAATTGCTGATAATTCTAAAAATATTGCACACAGATTTACTAAAGGCATAAAATCCTTAACCGGAACATAAAAAAACATAATTCAATCATTTTTAAAGCAAAAAAAAATGTACAATTTACCAAACGTATAATAAGAGTAAAGAAGACTGAGATCCACTGAGCCGGGTAACAGAGTGGCTAACAGTAACATATATATAAATGCATATTTATATACGTTTTGGTGCGGCCGATTGCAACCAAAAATACGGAGGTGCACAGTCTACATGTTATAGCAGTCCTATATGTATACAAAATTTCAACGTTCTGAAGGCTACTCGTTTTTGAGTTATGCGAGATACGTACATACGGTACCACGTAAAAATTCGCTTCATGAAAAAATCTCTTCTGAATCCATTTAAAGTCAGTATTATAATTTTTTTGAAGTGGAAAAGAGTCCTTTTATTCTGTCTTTACGTACAGATATCACGCAAAAACATCGTTAAATTGCATTCGATAGCGGTCAAAATGGATATTTTCGTTGAAATATGCTGCCTGAAACTTTTCGCGATTACAATACTTCCTTTTTACTTCGTACAAGGAAGTAAAAAAGGAATCTTTAAATTAAAACGTATAAAAGGAAAAGCAGGTAATTAGACGTACAACGAAATGTGGTACACAAGATGAAGAACATACAATACTTGATATTACTTCATTTTTTTTTTTCAAGTAGCTACGGCCTATACTTTTGGTCCCAATATTTTACAATAATATTTTTTACTAATTATAGCCTGAAATTGTGTGCATATCATAAAGTTACTTAATGATTGTGCTGAATTTAAGGAGTAAGTCTGTTGTTTTAAAGTTAGATTTCATTCCTTTACAGTTTGAATATTTTGCTTGACTCGACAACTTTCTTTTAAGTCTGAATGTTCCTCATGGTGCTTTCATGAGAACTTTCCTAAATTTGGAGATTTTGTTATTAAAAATGTAATATTAGTGTCATATAATTTCGTCTACTTTTAAATTATTCACTTACGAAATGAACAGGTATTGAAACTCATCTGCTCAAGTAAAAAATAGTTGCATATATACAGAAAAGTTTGTGAAAACTGTTTCAGGATTTTCACATTCAAGATTATTGAATATCATGATTTTCATATTTGATTTACAGCAGCTAATGACATGAGTGTATATCCATTTTATTACATTGATTATAAAATAAATTTACTTTATAATTACAATAGAATACTATTTTTCTTTCTCCAATGGCTGGCACTAGCTATTATAGGCTTTGGCCACTACTTAGGCTGGAAGCGGTGGCTACTTTATTATGGAGGCATCTAGCAGGTGGGCCACCATGCCTTTCTATAAGGGGACCGACAATCCGGGATTCGAACCCGGGCCCTTCGTTTAGGGCAGTCAAAGTCACTACCTACTTTCCCGTCTGAGTGGTCAACAGAGTACTTAATTTCATTAATTTCAGGCTTTGTTTATTATGCCAAAAAATTTTTAAACGAAGTTTCTATTTATGGTATCTTTGTATGTATCTATGATGTCTTTGTATTCTCTAATTACAGCTTGATGGGGTAAAAAGTACTCTTTTTCTGTTTTTAAATACTACGATTCCTGCGCTATGTTTTCTTGTAAATGTATCTATCATAGCTTTATAATGTTCATGAAACTTTGGATTCTCAGCCGCAGCGACACAAATCGTTTTATTGCTACCACAAAATTATCCCATAATTCCCCCACATACTCCTTCCACGGGAAGCAAACCGTATATCTGTTGTCCTCAAATTTTAGGGATTCTCGAAATTTTCTAAATGTACCATCGTCTTGTAAGCTGGGACTGTCAATAGATTTATTAGAAATTCCTAATGCCTCCAACTGCAATAAATTTCTTACCATTTCGGACGTCGAATCAGCTTTTAAATTTCTTATATCAGATTTTGTACGATATTGAATGTTTCTTATGTGTTACACGTGTTTTCTATTCCACTCACAGACCAACAATTTAGTTTTTCCCACTACTAATCATTCAGAAATTCGACAGGTCTTTTCTCTACAGCATCCACAAGCAGAATATGACTAAGGCAGGGGCATACGGGGCAGCTGCCCCGGGCCCGCACATCAGAGGGGGCCCCAAATTGAATAGAAAGTTTATTATTATAAAAATTTAAATACCTCCATAAAGTTCGGTTGTTCATTACTGAAGTAGTGAAGCAGAGGAGGCCCCCCAAAGAAGTTTTTGTCCCGTTCCCCAATTAGGCGAAGTCGGGCCCTGTCCACAAGCATCAATCCATTCATTCGTAAAGCATTCACGAGTAAATCTAACTTTTAAAGATTTTCTTTGCAAAATTGCTTGTTGAATCAGTATAATATATATATAATATATATATATATATATATATATGTAATTAACAAGCTAGGTAGTAATTACAATACTGAAAGACCAATTTGGTCTAAAAAATTTTTTGCGCAATATGCTGCAAAATTAAGGAAATGAGAAATTGTAGAGAGCTCGCCAAAATGTTACCAGGAGCTGTGGCTCCAAGAAAAAGTTCAACACATTTTTTAAAAAAACAATGTCATTGAAGGGTGAAAAATTAGGCTACACGCGAAATAGAATGTAAAATATATTAAACACAGTAAAATACTAATCGTTGGAAACTAGTAATGGCAAAAAATACAGTAAAATACCTATCGATGTGATAAGTGAAAAGTAAAAACATATAAAAAAACCAATCGATGGAACAAGTTAAGACAAATAAAACAAACAAAAATATATAAAAAATATAAAGCGGAAAATGGTAAATTAGCTCAATTCGAAGTCCAGTCTGGCTTTTCAAGGGCAATTTCTAGTTAAACGTCGAACCAAGCTAACTCCATTACGCGTTTCGCCGAAACAGACAATTGAAACTTTTGCGTTACAAAATAATTTTATTTAATTAGATGAATTGTCTTAAAATTTTTTTTAGTCTCAATTCTCTGTTCCAATTTCTCGACGCGTCCGCACAAAATGACACATTAAGGTGTTAAGAGATGTAAATGCAATTACGATGTACAGCAACATTTAAGATAAAAATAAATCGCGGTCTCCTATTAGTCAAAATATACAATAACTTACGGGCTGGAAATGCAAGCTTAAAGAACTAAACCTTTATAAATTTAAGAAATCTAAAATTAAATTAAATTAAAATGAAAACAAACACAGTGGGTCTTGCTAAGACCAAGAAAAAATTTTTTGTAAAAGAAACATAAAAAACAGACCTGTGGCTATGCAGTCTTCTCCATCATGAAACAAAGCTGAAAAGGGGTTGTATATCCCCTCTGTGTTCTTCAACGCACTCCCACTCGTCGTGTGACTTAAGTAGGGGGAACAATGTGACTGGGCAACAGCCAATGTGATTAGACTGTCCGTTGGCGGAAACTCGTCCCTAGTTATTCAAAGGGGGGGGGTCGGAAGACTCGGAAAGACGTGGAAAGATTTCAAAATGGCGTCAGTCAAGTTGTTTGAAGAATAAAACTTTTTCTAAAAGTGAAAAATGGCTAATTCAGCTAAAATTACTTAACATGGCCACAAAAGTAAGAGTAAAATGGAAAAAACAGTCATTTATTAATAAAAGTCTATATATATTTAATTGACAAGAAATGAAATAAAATAATTACATTTGGACATTCATCAGTTTAAGTTTGCTAATAACTTTGTAAAAAGAAATGAACTCCATTAATTACTTTTTTTTTGGACACTGAATAGTTTTAGTTTACGTTATTTCATATAGAAAGATACTAAGAAAAATATTAAGATTCTCTTTCTCAGAATTACTGTAAGACAAAATAAATATTCACCAGTATTTTTTTATTTCTTAAAACTTATTCTAAAACGTTAGCGTAGTTTATACTTGCGGATGCCATATTTTCGATATATGCATGTAATGTTAATTTCAGTATTACATGGATTGTAATTATTGGGTTTGCTATTTTCTTATTATTTAGTTCATCCTTCCGTCGATAAATGTTTAAAAGAAAATAGTTATTTAATTGAGTATCACGTTATCGTAACCCAAGTTGATCAAGTTATCGTACAGATTAAAATTACTTACTCAGATTCATACTAATTTAATAAAAAAAAACTATTAATTCTTATAAGAACAACTATTCGAGATATCAAAATTTTGAAGACGTTATATAAATACTGCTGAGCCTGACTAGCACTTAGATCAGTAAGACATGGGCCAAGTAATCAAGTCCTTGTCTTATGGCCTTTGATCATATCCAAGCCTTTTAACTAAGTGCTTTCTGTGACTTTTTTCCATCTCTCGAGCAGCGTAAAAATTCATTTTTTAAAAATGTCATCAGATTCATTAATAAAAAAGTTATTGAGGAGCTGTTTGACTGTCTCTAAAGAAATGAACTCCTTCAAAGAAAGTCCTTCAAGGAATTTTGAAGTCACCTGAAGAAATTAGGATTCAAACTGATAAGGTTTATGAATATGAGGGAAGGGTGAGACACAAAAATTTCCAGCCATATTCAATTAAGTCTTTGTCTGACATTCATCGAAATGTGGGGTCAAGCATTATCATAATGGAAGACCCCTCGACAACTGAACATTTCTGGGCGTTTTTGATTCAATTTCTGCTTTTAAGACTGCTATTTGGGAACAGTATTATTCCGAATTTATAGTCTGATATGTATACTATGAACAACAATTCATTTGTAGTCTAACCATACGAAAGCTTCTCTCATTGTTATTGAAGGAGATTCTTTTTGTCTACCCTATGATCTTTTTCTTGTAACATTATAGCATAGTATCCACTTATCATCACCAGTAATGATGCGTTTCAAAAAAGTAGCTCTAATTTTCTTTAATTAATCAGAATCACATGCCGAAATTCGAGCAAGCATATTCTGCTCTTTTAAAATATAGGGTATCCATACATAGAAGTATCTTACGCATCAAATCTTCTTAAAATCGTCATGCATTGTATTTATTTTAAAATATTTAGTCTGTCTAACAGTTCCTGAACTATATAGAGTATATTTTCAGTAATAGCTTGGTGGTCGACCAGAACGAGGATCATCTTCAAAACTGAAATTTCCATGCTGAAGCTTCTCAAAACACTTTTGAATTATGCCATCAGAAACTTCACTTTGCTCGCATACAGCTAAATTTTACAAACAGTCTGATTAGTAAATGTTTTTTCTGTTTGAATATAAAAGAGCATAATTTGTTAAAAATGAACTTCTGGATTCTCCATTCTTGCTGCACGAAAACAAAAATTATGCTACAATGCAAGCTAGAATAACGCTACGTGAGCAGAAAAGACCGCATATAAACATTTGCTTCGATTAAGATCACTCCTTATCAGCAGTAAGAAATAATTAGAAGAAAACGGCCCTTCGATTTGAAAAACTGCAAAACTTTCCTGATGACCCAGTACATAAATAGGAGAATCTAAAGTTTCCAGCTTCAGAAATGCTAAAATTTGAAATTTTTTCTATGATGTAACTAATATTTTTAAGGCCCTTTAATACCAACCTTTTCATTCTGGACAAATTTCATACAATTTTGGCAATGGAATTATTTAGATAAATTAATTTACTGCGATCAATTCAGTTGTATATTTTCAATCTTTGAAATCTCCGTTATGTTCAAACCATGTAACAACTTTCATTTTTTTAAAAAAAATTTACTTTTTCTTTTGTAAAATTTCTAACTTGAGAATATAACTCTGTGAACAAGCGTTGCATATTCGTTGGCACCAGATCACTCAGTAAGCATTGAATGAAAAACAAATACAATTCTTTTTATCTACTGTTCTCGCCGTCTTATTGAAATGAAACATTTCACTTTATCTGCGAATGTTATTCGACAAGATACAAAGTCCTACACAATTGAAACTTGATATGACTGGAAAAACGACATCAGATAACACGCGTCTGCTTGAGAAAGTTTCCTACCCTTGTAAGGGTCATTGGGTCGGAAGGTCGAACATTAAAAACATGCTTTCATTTAAGAGAAAATACATTATGTATGAGCTTCATTAAAAAAATCACAACATTTTCTATTACTAATGTCACGAGAATTTATTTAAAATATCACTTTTCTGTTCATGTTGTGTTCTAGAATTATAAAAACTATTTTCGCCCTTTTATGACATCTACTTTTTTATTTTTATGCATCTACTTTTTAACATTTCGTTTGAAATCATTCTCGAAGGTATAAGTCGTAATGCAAACTGTTTTTTCAGTTTTTGTTAGATTGGACTCAACTATTAACTCTTTGCACTGGTACGCCTTTTTCTCTCAGGAGAATCAGCAACTCGAGACGAATTTTCGAATATCTAAGTGAATTTCTGACAGTTAATTTAAAACGATTTCACACACAATAAAGAAATCTAATGTTTTTTTTACGTCTGAAGTTTCTTGCGGCCCTGCGGCTGTTTCGCCGTATACAAATGGTATCCACATTCCCCATTACCCTCATTTTTCATCTTCTTACACCTTTTACTTCATCTCTATCTTCACCACTGCTTTTCTTCTCTCTATCTTTAAGTAGTCCATTCGTTCTTCTTCGACGAAAAATCGAACTTATCTCCACTTGAACTGATTACTTCATCGTATTCCATGTTTATTGAACTCCGTAACTTAAATAATATTCCTATTACCACGACTGTCAAGTTCGAACTAACGTCGAAGACGCATATACAACAAGAAATCTAAAAAACGTATTTAAGATTAAAAGCTGGCAGTTGTTTTATACGCATTTCTTTTTAAATACACTTATTAAGTGATATTATCCAAAGAGAAGCCAAATAAGCATCATTACCGCTCGAATTATCACTTCAAACCGAGTGGTGACCGAGAGTCACCTCTCGTTAATAGAATGATTTTTTTAATTAAGACATTAACTAAATTTCTTAACATATTCTAAAAACAGAACGTAATACATACTAAATAGCGCACTGCATTTTTTATTACTCTTAACGTTTTAACCATGTTTGTTTATTATTTTGCAGTTTAATTATTTTGTATAATCCACAGAAAGAGTTAAATTGTTTTTGAATAGCTTGAACAGAAATACTATTTAACAGACATTTGATTTAATTTTTATCATGAATGTTAGAATACTGTAAATAGATTTTAATAAAAGTTTATTAGATTATTTTTAATGCTATATATCTTTAAAATACTACTCCCGATCAAACTTTTTTTTCAAAGTGTGGCAATTCAAGCAGGTAAGAATCTCACCCTACAATAACCCGCAGATGCAAAAAGTGAGCTGCATAGACAAAGTATTAGTGATTTTCCCAAATTCTTAACTGCCAGCTATTTTAAGAAGAATATAGATTCAAAGCGCCTGAAAAATAATAAAATATTTCGTAGAAGCATAAAATTATGAAATAAGTTGTAAGTTCACAGTAGAATTATTCTTAATTTACAATGTAATTTTCCACAGTACGATTTCGTTTAAATTTCCAAAATTTTAAGGGCTTTTTTTAAACCTTAAATAGGTTAATTATAGAGATTTTTCTTCAATTTATTTTACTCAAAAATTTCTTTTTCATTTCAAATAATCCGCATGAAGTTTTCTTATAGCTAAATAAGATAAAAATTAGCTTAGCTAATTCTAAAAAATTAAAATATACCATATTTGACGCATCTTCTTCAGATTAAAAAACTATACTCTGCAACTGTATGTGATACCTTTTTTTCGTCCTTTATGTGTAAAATTTAACATAGTAGAGACCATTCGACATTTGAGGCAAGAAATCATTAAAAAAAGAATCTGTACTGTCTCACCGTGATTTAAACCAAGGGTTTCCCAGTTCCTAAGACTAAATCCAAGTGTTGACGATCACAATGGGGCATCACTATCAGCTATGGTCTCTCCAGGTTTCAAACCACGGATCATGACATGTTAACTTTTCGTACCGCAAGAGGACGTATGTAATAACGCGATAATTACTTACAATGTCAGCTCTGTATTCGACACCTAGCAAGAATTTTATGTCATTAATATCAGCAATACTTACGAAATTTTTCGTTGCATGGTTTATTTATCTAACATTTTATTTGAATAGCAGTTTTTTTTTTTTTTTCGAATTAGCTACATAAATTTAGGATTTGTATAGGAAATAAACTATTTCAAAAAAGGTGATTTTGAAAGAAATAATTCTGCATATTACAGGCATAAGTCTCTGCTTGTTAATCCACTCAAATATTTGCTCTGTTGTATTTGAATCATTTAAATAAATTCTATCACTTTTTGTGCTTCCACCTAATAACGATTACAAGGCGTTCTCTCACATACAAAAGCTTTAGTTTAAGAAAGTATTCAGCTCCTCTCTGTTAATCTTCGGCAGTAAAATGTTTCCCTTTTAACCAT